TGCATGGGGCCTGTCTGTGAGATGTTGAGATGGTCACACGTGCATGGGGCCTGTCTGTGAGATGTTGAGATGGTCACACATGCATGGGGCCAGTCTGCCTGAGGAAGCCCAAGCTGCTCCTTTGGCGCTCACATGCCATCAGGTCACAGAATAATGGAGCATCAACATAAGTGGGCACTGGGTACAGCAGTGACCTGCAATACTAAGGCAGTCTTAACCTTGTCTGGAGTCAGAACAATGTATCTCCCCGGAAGAGTTCTTCAGTCATGAGCCTGCTATGGGAGATTGGGCTAACATTCCAGCCAGAAGAAAAGCAGGGTTGTTTTTACTGCAACTTAACGGTATCCTTGACAACCAACAGGAGAAGGATGCATCCCATGAAAATGCTCCCATGCCTGTGCTACAGTGGCAGCTCACTTCTGAGAGGCTCCCGTGGGAGCAGCCTGGGTGTGGCCACAGTCACGGTCAAGTCATTCCTCTTGGGACAGCTGGTGGGCCGCCGCTGTCATCCTGTCCCCCTTTCAGCCTGTCACCCGCTTCGCATACTTACGGCAGGGGTAGTTCAGCAGCAGGATGTCATCAAGTCCCACGTAGCCACGGCTCTCCTGAGAGACAAAGGCCTCAAACAGAACCTGTGTGAACACAGACAGACACAGGGACTGAGTGGAGTAGAGTTCGGCTGCAAGCACCGCTCTCAGGCTCTCAGGCCTCGCCCCACTCAGACTTTGCCACAGAAGGACATAGCCAGAGATGGGCGGGGTCTAAGATGGGCGGAATCTGAGATCAGCAGGGTTTGACAGTGGTGGACACTGAGATGGGCGGAGTCTGAGAGCAACAGGGTTTGACAGTGGTGGACACTGAGATGGGCGGAGTCTGAGAGCAACAGGGTCTGAGAACGGTGGGGTCTGAGAGCTGCAGGGCCTGAGAGCGCTACTGAAAGTCTGAGGCGTATATTATTGGCTGAGTGTGCAAAAAGAAACGCGGATCACACTAGCTTTCAGGGACTCTGTAACATGGTGGTTCAGTGGGTAGCTGAAATTGTCCCTAAATTACCCATGATGCACAAGTGTATGTGACCTGTTATAGCCTGGCATCTCATTCAAAGTGTCTCATGCTCTGTGCCTTTTGGGACTGGCTTCCGGCTCTATGCACTGCATAAGTGATTATTTTTGTAAATAGCTTTTATACATTTTTATTTTTCTTTATTTAAATTCGATTTAGAGAAAGCACCATTTCTATTGCATCATTTAGACACACATGAACACTTGGCGACTGCCCTGGAATGGGGGTGAGTCCCAGTGCAAACTGCCAGCCAAGCGTCCCTGGATGCCCAGCCCCGCCCTGCCATCCCTGCTCACCTCCCACCGGGCAGCAGCAATGGCAAAAAGGGACATCAGCGTTCCAAAAAGGCAAACATGCAGCGACAGACTCATGCGACAGATCAACTGGTTTTCCCTGCTGCCCCCTGGAGGATGGGCTCCCCCTTTGAGTCTGGTTAAGGTTAGGGCTTCCTCTGCTGCCCCCTGGAGGATGGGCTCCCCCCTTTGAGTCTGGTTCCTCCCAAGGCTTCTTCCTTCTGGGGAGTTTTTCCTTGCCACTGTCGCCTCTGGCTTGCTCTCTGGGGGCTTTGGGGGGGGATGCTGTAAAGTGCTCTGAGATAATGTAATGTTGTGAAAACGCACTATACAAAAAAATGGAATTGAATGTGCTGCTGCTGGCCTAGAAACTGCTTTCCACTATTGTTACTTGCATTCTCTTTAGTTATAATCAAGATTCGGGCCACTCATAGCTTTCAAAGTACGCTGACGCAGATTTTTAAACATCAGACGGGGTGGGCTTTAAGGCTGGGGGCCTGGCTCCTACCCATTCCCAGTGTTTTGCTCAGGGGGGCACTAACTTCTGAGAGGTTCCCAAGGCAGCAGCCCGAGTGGGGCACTAACATTTGTTTCATTGGCCAATCGAGAGCGAGAGGAGTACTTAAAGACCAGACACAGGTATATCCTGTGCAGAATCGCCCCCACCTGTGCTGTTAAGATGACCAGAGCCTCACATTAGCTCTCCACTCTAATCACCCTCACAGAGAGACAGACGCACACATTGGCGTACGTATCAAAACGGAGACCTTCCACTCATTTCCATGGGAAAAACCATAATCCCATTCACAACACCTTTAACCCTGACCCAGCCCTAACATTGACTTTTGGCATTTTTACTTTTTTAATTGCATTCACAGATTTTTATGGAATTGAGGTTATCCAAATGGGGACCTGAAAAATGTCCTCAAAAGTAAGGAAGCTTCACCGCACTTTGGGGACGTTTTGGTCCATACAAACTTTTGGTCTATACAAACACACGCGCACACACACACACACACACACACACACACACACACACAGAGTGTGGGTATGTGGCTGGGGAAGAAGACAATGACATATTTTAGGAGAGCAACGTCCATGCTCATTTATAGTGACACCATTCAAAGTGAAAAGGGTAGAATAAATCATGATTCGACATACGCAATGGCTAGCTACATTAATCATCTGCCTTAAGCATAGCTACACCAGCTAGCTAGCCAGTAAAAAAGTACACCAGGCAAGTTGATTGACCATTTTTCACCAACCTCTGTCACAATGTAGCATGTCAGAGGTAAATGATGGTAGGCACAAGACACGACTGTATCATATCATGTCAGTCTGCCAATCAGCTAGCAACCAAGCCTTATGATGTAGCCAAGCTACGCTACATTAACCATCTGCCTTCAGCATAGTTATGGTAGCTAGCCAGCTATTTTACGAGGCTGTAAAGTTTAGTGCCCATTGCATTGCGAATACAAAAATATGGAAGTACTTACAAGACCATACTCCCCAGCAGCATTTCTGAACTCTCTCACACCGGGCCAGTGTAACGGCTATCTGGTCTGGGCAGCATCATGGAGCCTCACCTGGTAATCACTGGGCCAGAAGGTGCTGATGGCCAGCTCCACCTGGTGCCACTGCCGGCCGTGTGAGCCGGAGGCGTTCCAGATGGGGCTGCCTAGCGGCCCGCCATTCACACGCACGAAGACGCGCAGGGCACCGGGGCTGTGGCCATCACGGCTGTACAGGAAGTAGCTGAACTGAACACAGTGTGTGTCATTCTCACTCAGTGGGCGCAGTGAGAGACGGGCGCGCGCCCCCTCGGCATGCTGGGAAGAGTTCACCAACATGAATGACCCTGCAAAGCACAAAACAATGGGGTTAGAAAAGCGGACTTAAACAGCGGCCGCTCTGATCTTTGTCACCATCATCATCATCATCGGCCGCACTGTAATTATGATATTTTTCTTAGACGGTGAGGAGAGTGGGGGTAGATGGCATCATCCATCATCAGTCACCCAAAGTTATGAGAGTCTACAGCGCTCCTTGTTCCCCGCAAAGCTATAGCTTGTTTCTTGCCGTTATCGTTCTCTGTTGCCAGCAGGCAGACTCTGCAGTCGTTAACACCCTCCGACTCGTAACAGCAACACCAGCACAACACTCATCCGACATTCTTAACCTGCCAAGACTCTTTTATCTTTGCTGTTCTGTTGTGTTTTGTTGAGCCTCTCCCTGTTCCCTCCGTTTATCCCTGAGAATGATTTACCTTAACATAACTGCCAACTTTTGTCTTATATTATTAGAGGGGATTTGGGGAAAGGCAGTTTGGGGGAAGTGAAAACTTGCTTTATTAAAGTATAGGCTACGTGGTGGATGGGATAGTCTCCATCACTCCAGCCAGTTCTTCAACAAGGCCACATATTATTGGTCTTATATTATCAGAGGGGATTCTGAGAAATTCAGTTTGGTGGAAATGCATAGTATGACCACTGGAGGGCTGAGGCAGGCTATCAAGGGATTCATTACATCGATGCATAACTCCAGGGCTGCAGTCTAAATCCCACTCTAAGCCCCAAGAGATGCAGTCAGTCTCAAAGCTCCTCCAGTAATCTGAGCCTCTCAGATTCCTCAAGAACAAAGCAGTGATAAAAATTATGGTGAAATAAATAGTGCAGCTGCATGTACAGTACACGGGCTAAGGTGGTCTGAAACAGGATGTTATGGAACAAGAGTGTGAATGACACGTTTGACCTGGCATACTGCCCCACAGTGTCAAAGGAGTGCTGTCCAAGGCAGAATCTCAGCAGCTTCACCCCTCACCATGAACTGGCTGCCACACTGACCCCTACTGCATGGTCATGAACCGGCTGCCACACTGACCCCTACTGCATGGCCATGAACCGACTGCCACACTGATCCCTACTGCATGTTCATGAACCAACTGCCACACTCACCTCCACTGCATGATCATAAACCAACTGCCACACTCACCTCCACTGCATGGTCATGAACTGGCTGCCACACTCACCTCCACTGCATGGTTATGAACCAGCTGCCATACTGACCCACACTGCAAGGTCATGAACTGGCTACTACACTCACCTCCACTGCATGGTTATGAACCAGCTGCCATACTGACCCACACTGCATGGTCATGAACCGGCTGCCACATTCACCTCCACTGCATGGTTATGAACCAGCTGCCATACTGACCCACACTGCATTGTCATGAACTGGCTGCCACACTCACCTCCACTGCATGGGCCAGCAATAAGAGGCCTGACCTCACTGTTCCCACAAATGACACAAACTTGTGTTTGCAGTAATATGCTGCTGTATGGTGGGCCTGCTGCAATGCTTGGGTTTACATGGTGCTGAACTGCCTGGCATGAAATGTGTTCATGTCAGCACCCAGCACAGCTGACATCCAACAGGAGGCGTAATCCGCCAACTAGATGCTCGCATTAGTAACCTTTGGACAAATGGCCAAGCTGTGAAGATTCCGTGAAAATTTCAGTGAAAAGCAGAATTCAAAGTTAATATATTCAGACTCCAGTCTCTGAATCTCTGGCAGGGCCCTGATGTCCCAGGAGGAGCCACCTTTTCTGGAAGCCTCCAGAACACTTTAGTGCGGCCACAGAGAGCCGACGTCCACAGGGCTTCTCAGACAGCCCCTGCATCCATTTCTCTCTTAACCCTTTTCAAGATTAAAGGCGGCTTGCACTTTGCAGTTTTAGTCTGTCTTCACTGTTTTTGTCTTTCACAAGATCATTGTTTCTTTCATTTCTTGTTTAGTTTGAGCTTCTTCACATTTAATCCATTTTGAAGGTCATTCCAGTGTTATAGGGATGAAGCTCAGTTGTGGCTTCAGCAATCCAGAGTATAACAAACATACTGCAACATTATCCTGAAAAGATTAAATATTTACCAATGAGTACGTATCCATGTAGGAAATCATGGGATGTCTATGTGAGAGCAACCTTGTGGGACAGCCCACATTACAGCTGACACCACAGAGCAGAGAGAGTGGCTGAGCAGAGCAAGCTGTTAAGATGATCTTATTAAGTGGGCACATCTGCTAGTGGGTGTGTGAGAGACAGGAGAAAGTCAGATGGATGTCACAGCAGCATAGCGGGAGCCAGAGAGCTCTCTTCACTTTCTCAGTAAGTATTTGTGTGCAGTGGTGCTGTCTGACCAATACACGTACGCAAGCACAGCTGATCCATGCTGAGGGACAAGGGATTATAGGGGTAATTCTTCTACAGTATAGAAACTGAAAAGGCTGTCCATAAAATCCCACCAGTATGTATTTCACCGACTTTTCAGAAATGTCGGCATTTCTTTACTAATATACAGACACACCTAATGAGACTTGTCACACATAAAGCACGTTTCCTGTCCACATTGTCTTTAAATCCCAAATCGCAATTCCAAGGTCACAGCATTACGGCGTAGAGCGCAGAGCTCAGCTGTGCCAGAGCCATCGTTGGGCCTGGTGCTGTCTGATAGAATCAACGAGAATAAGACAGGAAAAGAGAAGCCAAGGGCAAGCACGCTCTGATCTTCATCATCTCCAGCTCACGTTAGTCCTCATCCATTCATCAATCAATTATATTCTCCTCATCTGAGATATCCAGCAGACTAGGAACACTGGGTAACTTAAAGCACTCATGAATAATGCATTATGGATACCTTGATAATGCATTATAATGCATTTATAAAGCATTACACATTTAATATGCATTATAAATACCTTGATAATGCATTATAATGGTTTATACTGACCATTATAATGCATTATGAAGGCATTTAATAAATTATTTAATTTAATTTACTGAATAATTTATCATTTTAATAATAATCATTAAAACTCGTAAAACACGTTGCTTGCAAAAAGTGTTTGCTTGAGCCAGTTGAAGGTATAGTATAGGTGCACATACAGTATGTGTGTACACATGACCAGGATGGTACCGCCTCATTTTGAGCCAGCAGAAACCCTGATCTGTACTGGTAATGTAGCCACTGGTCAGGATAAATGGAGCTGGATTGGGACGCTGTTCCTGCAAACAGTACGCATAATTCAGTTTCTGTTCAAGTATTGACCAGCCTCCAAAAACAGTACCGTTAGGACAAGGAACTGTGGAAGGGGAACTAAGAAGTAAGAATGAAACACTTTTGCATTTATTTGCTTTTCTGAGTGCTTTCTAGCTATTCAAATTATGTTTCCTTTGCCAATTATCCTTTCAATAATGAAGATATGTGCTTTCCCTGGGAATTCAGCTCAAATGGTACACTGCAGCAGTTTAATTGTATACCTCCAGGCAAAAACCCCAGGAAATCTCCAATCTAAATGGCAGAAATAAATCAGCATTATTAGGCACCCAGTTGAAAACAGGCCAAGATGAAGACTTTCCATCACCAGAGACTGCACTGGGTGCAGTTGCTGCTAGAGATACACCGATACCGATATTCGGATCGGTATCGACGCCGATCCAGACCTATTTGACAGATCGGGTATCGGCCATGCGTGACCGATCCACGTCCTATACTTACTTATTTAGTTTTTGCCAATCAATCGCACGATTCCCATTTTACATGTGTTTTTTGCGACATTCAAATCGAACGCTATCGCTGCCCCCCAGTCTTTTTTGCTACTCAATGGGTGTGAGTACAGTGACTTAAGTTCTGCCTGCTGTGACGTCATGCGCATACCCTTCGTAGTACGAGGAGCGTAAGATAAGACGTGACGAATCTGGGAGAATTATACGATTTTAACAGAAACCAGTAGCACAGCGATTTGCAATCTATGTAAAATAAAGTTTTGAAGTGTGAATAGCGTTTAATGGACAATCCCATTTAACAAAGCGCACGGAACTGCGAGACAAAACAAAGCAATGGATGATTTGGGAGTCGCTAACTTAATTGGACTGTTTTGCGAATTCGCTGCAGCTTGTGATACAAGAGGGGCTGCCATCGCAACCAAAGTTTAACTGAGCTGACGCCAATGGGAGAAAAAGTCTGTTAAAATTTTAAACATTCGCTTGCTTTGAAGATATTCATATTGAACTGCAAATGCCTCAAAAACGCTTAAAACAAACGAGGTGGAACAGTACATTATGTATGTTTGTAGTAGCCTAATTAAATATTTTTTGTCATACATTTTTTCCATCTGTATTTACTAGCTTAAAAAATATATATATATAAAGTATAACAAAGTAAAAAGAGCTCTTGTATCGGAATCTGTATCGGTAGTTGTGTATCGGAATTGGATCGGAACAGAAAAAATGTGGATCGGAACAGAAAAAATGTGGATCGCCCATCTCTAGTTGCTCCTTCTGCCCTTTAGGTGGCTTACTCTCCCCATCGTCACAGCAAGGCCATGCTGACCCATGCCCTCCATAAGGCCACTTAAAATTAATAAATTGTTTTACATGACTCAAACTTCTAAAATATTGGTGAGTAGGGGATTTTATATTTTATATTTTTAGCGAAAAGACGATCGGCAACAGAGATATACTAAAACTAGAAAATTAAACTTTAATTTGTCAGTATCTCAACATTTTAAACTCTCAACAGTTCAAACAATTACAAGAAAAGAGAAACCTTCAAAACAAATGCCTAGTCTAAGTGTTTAATGGTCTTGCCACAGAATGGCCCAATAAAAGCGTCCTCCTGACAATAGCAAAACAACAGCACTTCCATTGTTTCAAACAATAGAAGTGCTGTTGTTTGACCTCAATGAGGGTCACTATTATTGGACCACCCTACAAGAGACTACTTGCTCACAGTGCACAGGATATCAGGATTTGGCACATTGACGATCTCTGACAGTTTTTGAGGTGAAAAAAACGGATTTTT